TGTTATATATTTGATGGATATTCCTGTCTTTAAATCCTTCAGTTATGTAGATTAGATTAGAATGTGTATTTTTTTTTGTGACAAGTTGTTTCCTTTAAAAACTGCCTGAGAGCTACAAGTAGATAGTAACATTTTTTGTCATTGAAGTATTTGAATTCTGTGCAGATAACAGAGAGCATCATTCCCGAAACAACGCACCCTGACTTCCGTCTGTGGCTCACTTCATACCCAGCCACACACTTCCCTGTTCAGATATTGCAGAATGGGATCAAGATGACTAATGAGACCCCAAAGGGCCTGAGGGCCAACATCATCAGGTAACAGTGTACATTTAACATATCCTGTTCATGTGAACAATTAATGTAGGACTGGTTCTGTACTTCTGGCTAATGAATAGTACTGATACTACTCAGAAGGGAAAATCAAGAAATTAAAACAGAAAACCTCCTGGAAAATGATTTGTTTGAAGACCAAGAAGTAGACTGGAAGCTAATATTAAGATTGGCTTCATTGTGAGAATGGAAGATGGATGGAACTTGCTTGAGAATGTGCCCAATGGTGGGCCCTGAATGATGGAGGTTATATACCAAGTGTCATTTAGCTAGTTGGTATAGTGAAAACATTCTAGACTTGTATATGCTTTAAATCTACACTCAGAATCCTCGCTAGGATTGGTGCAACTTTCTTCAGTCTTTCCAGGTGAATGGTAGAACAGCCACTTCTTGCATATTCCTTCCTAGTATTATACATGATCACTCATCTCATTTGAGAGTACTGTTAAGTAACCTAAGACTGAATCAATCTAGCAGACGGAAAGCACCATAAGAGTTATACTTTAAAACTGAATACTGTAAATAACAGGTGAATTTAGACATGAATGTCAAAAATGATTGAGAAATGCTTGGTTCATTTTGTTTGTTTGCATTCCATAGGTCATATCTGTCTGACCCAATTAATGATTCTGAGTTCTTTGAGAGCTGCAAGCAGTCAGATAGCTTCAAGAGACTTCTGTATGGACTATGCTTTTTCCATGCATTGGTCCAGGAGCGACGCACATTTGGACCCTTGGGGTGGAACATTCCATATGAGTTCAATGAGACAGACCTACGCATCAGCATTTTGCAGTTACATATGTTCCTTGATGAGTATGAGGTATGTATCAGGTGACAGAGCTTCTGACTTGAATGAACCCTGGGATGGCAAGACCTGCCTTTGTACTTGCTTCCAATGAAGCTGTCAGATTTAAGTTGTGGTTT